ACAGTAATTGACTCTCGAGAAATCGCAATCCACACAGAGATTGAAAATTCAGCCATGGGAGAGAATATTCTTAAATTCGCTCCATTGAATAGTTCCGTTGACGAAGGCTTTTGGCATAGCTTATCCTCTCTTAAACTCGACAAACTCGGAATCGACGATTCTCCGATTTCAATCGCCGGTAAACACATAAACACTTAATCATCACGCAATTACACAAAACATCTATGATTCTATTGCATTCAAATTGATTTTGTATATTGAAAACATCTCATGATCCATTAGGTTAGAGAACAAATAAAAAAAAGTTGACAACTTTGAAATATCCTGTATAAAGTTCATTCTTTTAGATCGAATCTGAGGTCAAAAAAGTTATAACTCATGTGGGTTTATTGTCGTCTTCATGAAGATGAAATCAGATTTGATGGGTTTGTTAATTGGGATTGGAAATTGCAGGTTTCTATGCACCATGTTCACATCCACAAGTCTCAAATCATTTGACTCTTCTCTCAGAGTCATTACCTTCAGAGGAAGAACAATCGTTGATTGCGAGTACTAGTCATGGTAATAGGAATAAGTGTCCTGTTCCTGGGACTCTGTATAATACCAATACTGTTGAAAGCTTCAATAAGCTTGACAAACAAAGTTTACTAAAAGCAGAAGCAAATAAGGTAACTAGAACTTGTCTCTGACTTGGTTTTTGCCGGTTCTTGTTCGTAGAGAGGTCTAACTGATTGTTTGGTAATGTTTTAGATTTGGGAAGATATTCAAACAGGAAAAGCTATTGAGGATTGTGCTTTGTTATCGAGATTTCTTGTTATCTCGTTCGCTGACCTTAAAAAATGGAGTTTTCGTTATTGGTTTGCGTTCCCTGCCCTTGTACTTGATCCTCCAGCAAGGTTGGTAGAATTAAAGCCAGCTTCAGAGTATTTTAGTTCTGAAGAGGCGGAATCAGTATCCGCTGCTTGTAATGAGTGGCGCAACTCAAGTTTAACTACTGGTTAGTCAACATTATCGTTCTATTGTTATTATTATAGTTCAAAATTAACGAGTGGCAGCTGAAAATGTTTGTTACTTCTCTGTGTTTTACTGCAGATGTTCCATTCTTTTTGATTTCGGTTTCTTCTGATTCAAAAGCTACCATTAGACATCTTAAAGACTGGGAAGCCTGCCAAGGTGATCATCAAAAGGTATGTTCAACTTACTCTTCCAAAATACTCTAGAAACCGAAGAGAAAAATTCACCTTTATCTATCTCTGTTTCTGCAGTTGCTTTTCGGTTTCTATGACCCTTGTCACCTTCCTAGTAATCCTGGTTGGCCACTTCGAAATTACTTAGCACTTATTTCATCAAGATGGAAAGTCGAGACAGTTCGGTTCTTTTGCTACAGAGAGAGTCGCGGTTTCGCTGACTTGAACCTTTCCCTTGTTGGTCAAGCATCAATTTCATTATCATCAGCTGAGACGGTACCTAACTCAGTGGGGTGGGAGCTTAACAAAGGCAAAAATGTCCCCCGATCAATTAGCCTTGCTAATTCCATGGATCCAACAAGGTACGTTTTTGCTCTGTGTCAGTGATGTAGTCAACTAAATGGGTAATCTGATTAGAGAAACGGATTCACGTCCTTTCGTAGGTTGGCCGTTTCTGCTGTTGATTTAAACTTAAAGTTAATGAGATGGCGAGCGTTACCATCTCTTAATTTAAACGTTTTGTCTTCTGTCAAATGCCTTCTTCTTGGAGCTGGTACACTGGGTTGCCAAGTTGCTCGTACCCTTATGGTATGTATCGATGAGAATGCGAGATTAACAAGTACATCAAACTCACTGGTTACTAAAGAACTTTTCGTCTTTTTTTTTTTAGGGTTGGGGAATCCGGAATATCACATTTGTTGACTATGGTAAAGTAGCTATGTCTAATCCAGTAAGGCAATCTCTCTACACGTTTGAAGATTGTGTAGGCCGTGGCGAGTTTAAAGCTGTTGCTGCTGTTAAAAGCCTTAAACAGATATTTCCAGCAATGGAATCAACTGGAGTTGTTATGGCTATACCGATGCCTGGACATCCAGTTACTAGTAAAGAAGAAGATTCAGTTCTTGATGATTGCAAACACCTTAATGATTTGATTGAATCTCATGATGCGGTGTTCTTGTTAACCGATACAAGAGAAAGCCGATGGTTACCTTCTCTTCTTTGTGCTAATGCCAATAAGGTAATTAACTCTGTCTCTTCTTGTTATATAACATCATCCGCTTAATATGTTGGTGTTTAATTTGAATTTCAGATTGCTATAAACGCGGCTCTAGGTTTCGATAGCTACATGGTAATGCGCCATGGCGCAGGCCCCGCCTCCTTGTGTGATGATATGCAGAATCTTGACATGAACAAGACAAATAGACAGAGACTTGGTTGTTACTTCTGCAACGACGTGGTTGCACCTCAAGATGTAATTCCCGGGATTTTTCTCGATTCTGATTGTTTTGTCTCATGTTGCCTCCGGTTTAGTCCCTATTTGCCATGACCCACATTTTTTTGATTTTGCAGTCAATGACGGACCGAACTCTAGACCAACAATGCACTGTTACACGCCCAGGTTTAGCTCCTATTGCAGGAGCTCTCGCTGTTGAACTTTTAGTCGGAGTTCTACAACACCCACTTGGGTTAGTCTTCAAATTCTACTCCATAGAAAATTCAGTCCACAAGCTTATATTCTTACATATGTTTTTACAGGATATATGCGAAAGGTGACAATTCCAGCTCTAGTAATGGAGGAAATATCGATGATTCACCTCTCGGGATCTTACCTCATCAGATTCGAGGCTCAATTTCTCAGTTCTCACAGATCACGCTGCTCGGACAAGCATCAAACAGCTGTACAGCTTGTTCTGAAACCGTAAGTTTCCACACGACAACTTTCTAACAAAACCGAGCTCGCACATTACTTATGATGTTAAACTTCTATATTTCAGGTGATATCGGAGTATCGAGAGAGAGGAAACAGTTTCATACTTGAAGCTATTAACTATCCTACTTACCTGGAAGATCTTACCGGTTTAACCGAGCTTAAGAAAGCTGCTAATTCTTTTGACCTCGACTGG